TTCACATTTCAAACAAAACCTGTAACGTTAAACCCCATGTACCATAATTAAATGACAATCCGATCTATTTTACCTTTTTGTATAATATTAAAAATAAACAGTTTATTATTCTAATTTCTTTTGTTTTTCTTTTTTATTTTTTGTTAATTTTTTGCGAAGTGACGCTGACAATTTCTAGTCCCAACTCAATGCAAAAATAGAAATTAATGACCAACCATTTGCTTTTTTTTTGTTTTTTGTTTTTTTTGGAACCATTGTTTCAAGCCGAGAATTTCTCAGCAGCAAGAAGATATTACTTATGTACCGACAGCTTTTTTTTTTTATTGCACTTTTTCCTCGTCGAGGAAACAGATCAGGTTTCCATTTCGATCCGATGTATGATTACTTAACCGATCAGTATTATAATGATTAAAATAAATGTTTTCACTCATTATGACTTTCTATCGACTGAGCCTGATAAAAGCCGAAGCTCGTATAAGCTGGACATTCTGTTGTGAAACATAAGAGTACTCACCTATATCAAGAAATATTTTCGGAAAAAAAAAGAAGATATATTCATAATTATAGAGAAACAGATGTATTGAATTTTACTTCTCGGACGATATTTTTTACGGTTGCCGTGTGGATTATACCTACAATGGATTAGAATAATTTTATTTAAATTAAAGTAGATATTTCCTTAGATTAACTTTCAATGCCACTTAAAAGGAGAATCCCTGAAAATGGACAAATATCAGCAAAAGATATTTTGAGGCTTGGTGGATGGTATGTAATAAATAAATAAATTAAATATATTTTTAAAAACATGGCCTGCAAGTTTCCGTTCCAGTCTCACAACACCCCGGTTTCTATAAATTTGAATAATGTATTTTTCTTTTAAGAATTTAAAGCCAAATTCTGAATGATAACAGATGTTCTTCCCAGAATCTAAATGTTAATAGATATTTTCTTTTCCTGAATGATAGGCTAAATATTCTCGGGATGTAAAAATTATTGCCATTTTTTAATTAAACAAGTATTTTTGCAAGATTTATTTCATTGGATATTTTCTCTATATAATTGAATTAAATTATGTCTTAAATTTCCTCGATTAGGAACAGAATTTCGTTATTTAATTTGTTCGTTTCTTTTTCCACTAATAGCTAATTTCTTGCTTGATTTAAAACGCGTTTGCTTACCGCTTTACGACCGATAACGTTCAGAAGCTCATTTAAACACAGTTGGATTATCGTGTACTAAATAATCTTAGAAATATGTTATCTAAAACAACAACAAAAAAAAGATAATTTCATAAATGTAGATGTAAAAAAATATTATCTTTCTCGTTATTATTATTATTATTATTATTATTATTATTTACGTATAATCATTAAGTTTAAATAACATTATAATAATCTGTTGGCTGGAGGTAAGATAAAACCAAGTCTCGTTAATCCATTCAGACTCTTCTAAGTACACTTGCTGTTTGGCTAGTTTCAATTCTTAAAAAAAAAAAAATTAAGATTTCAAAACGGCTTCAAGCGCGTCGATTACAAATGAACTGAACTCTCACGTTTGTAATCAACAATCTCATATTATCTTTTATTTTAATTGTCACTGTGCTATTTGTTACCGTGATCATAATCTTAATGATAATAATCGATAGTCGGAAAAAAGAAATAACAATTATATGTTCCACTATAACTAACAATTGTTTTCTAAAAATTAAGTGACTTTCTAGTTGCACTAGCTCTGTGTATATACGCAATATTTTTAAACGAAAAATATTTAAAATAAAATAAACGCTGAAATATTTTAAATTCTATCCAAAAATTTAAAATCTTAACTTATTTTCGGAATTAAAAAAAAAATGTCGGATATTAAGAAAATCAGGTTTTTTAATTAAAAATTAGACTACCTAGAATAAACATATCTATTAGAAATTAAAATTTATAAATTCAATTAAAAAAAAATATAATAGCATTTGCGATACATTGTAGGTTTCTCCTTAACCGTCTTCATGATTTTTGTCAGTTTTATTTTTTTTAATTTTAAGAGGCCGTTCATCGGATATCTTGAAATTAACAGTTGTTTGAGCAGTTCTTAGTCGTTCGTATTCACTACATGCTTGTAAAATACTTATTCGTAGAAGGAATTTTAATTTAGAGTATCTTTTAAATTTTAACGTGCCAAAGTACAAAGTTTCATAAGTTTCTTCCAAATGAAATAATCAAATTAAAATTAAGTTTTTAGAATACTAAATTTTTAAGATCTCGATAAGAAATGTAATTGTTGGAGTTCATATAAATGGAAGCACAAATGAATTTGAAATACGTTTTTGTTTTTTTTTTGTTTTTTTGTCAAACAATTAATTTCGTTAATTGCTTCAATTGTTTTTTTTAAATAATTTTTGAAAATAAAGGCACGAGGAAAAGAGGAAAACAGCGTAACACATATTTAATGAGCTTGAGTAATTGGATGGCGGAACAGGGTTTAGGAGAAATAACATAAAGACAAAATT